ATAGTTTTTAGTATATTCACAGAGTCTTGCAACCACTATCGCTATCTAATTTTAGAACATTGTCATCATCCTGAAAGGAAACTTCATACCCATTAACATTCATGCCCCATTCACCTCCCCCACCAGCCCTAGGCAAGCTAAAATTTACTTTCCGTCTCTATAGATCTGCTTGTTCTGGAGATTTCATATAAATGGAATTTTATAATATGTGGCCTTTAATGACTAGCTTCTTTTACATAAAATAATATTTTCAAGGTTCATTCGTGTTGTAGCATGTACCAAAATGTCATTTTTTATTGCTGAACAATATTCCATTATATGGCTATACCACATTTTGTTTACCACTTTATCAGTTGATGGATATTAGGGTTGTTTTTACCTTTTTACTATTAAGAATAATGCTGCTATGAATATTTGTGTGCAAGTTTTCTTCATGTGGACATATATGTTCATTTCTTTTGAGTATATGACAAGGAGTAGAATTGCTGGGTCATATGATAAAATGTTTAACATGTTTCACTTTTTGAGGAGCTATCAAATTGTTTTCCAAAGTAGCTACCCCTTTTTACCCCACTAGCAATGTACAAGGATTCAAATTCCTCACATCCTGCTCAGTACTTGTGTTTAATTTCTTTTTGATCATAGCCATCCCAGTGGGTGTGAAGTAGCATCTCATTGAAGTTTTGATTTGCATTTCTCTTATGGCTAATGGTGTTCCGCATCTTTTCATGTGTTTATAACCCATTTGTACATCTTCTTTGGAGAAATGTATATTCAAATTATGTGCCCATTTTTAATTGGATTTTAAAAATTATATTGTTAAGAACTCTTTATATATTTTAGTTACAAGTGCCTTATGTATGATTTGCTAAAATTTTCTCTCATTCTGTGGATGTTCTTTCCACTTTTTGTTGATGTCTATTGAAGCACAAAAGTCTTAACAATCTGATGGTTCAATTTATCTATTTTTTGAATTGCTTTTGATTTTGGTGTTCTATTTAAGAAACAATTTCCTAACCCAAGGTCACGAAGTTTTATAGTTTCAGCTGTTACATTTAGGTTTATGACTCATATTGAATTAATTTTTGCATATGATGTGGCATGGGGTACCCTTGTTGAAAATGAATTGGCCATTCTTATAAGTGTTTATTTCTGGACTCTTAATTCTATTCAATTGATTTATATATCTATCCTTATACCAGTATCATGCTGTCTTGGTTACTATAGATTTGTAGTAGTTTTAAAATTTGGAAGTGTGAATTCTCCAACTTTGTTCTACTTTTTCAAACTTGTGTTGGTTATTGTGAGTCCTTTGCTTTTCCATATGAATTTTAGAAGCAGCTTGTCAATTGCTTAAAAAAAAAAAAGCAGCTGGAATTTTGATAGGGATTGTGTTACATCTATAGATAAATTTGGTGAGTAATACCATGTTAACAGTGTTAAGTCTTCTAATTCATAAACATCAGATGTCTCTGTATTTATTTGTATCTTTAATTTATGTCAACGATATTTTGTAGTTTTCATTTTGCAAGTCTCACACTTCTTTTGTTAAATTTATTTGTAGTATTTTATTGTTTTGTTACTAATGTACATGGAATTGTTTACTTGTTTAATTTTCATAATTGCTCTTTGCTACTGAATTGCTATTGTATTGTATTGTTCATTGCTACTATACAACTGATTTTTCTATATTCATTTGTATTCTGTAACCTTTGTAACCTTGCTAAACTTGTTAATTAGTTCTAATAGTTCTTTCTTTTTCTATTTCTTTTCCTTTCTTTTTCTTTTCCTTTTTTTTTTTTTTTTGCAGATTCTGTAGGGTTTTCTATATATAAAATTATGTCACTTGTGAAAAGAGATACTTTTATTTCGTCCTTTCCAATCTGAATTCCTTTTCGTTCTTTTTCTTATTTAATGTTCCTGGCTAGAATATCCAGCACAATGTGGAATAGGAGTAGGGAGAACAAACATCCTAGTCTTATTCCTGATCTCAGGGGAAAAGCACTCAGTCTTTCACCATTACGTACGGTGTTAGCTGTGGGGTTTTTAGTAGATACTTTTTAATCAGTTTGAGGAAGTTCTTCATTAGTTTGATTAGCTATTTTATATAAAAGTGTACTAGATTTTGTCAAATGCTTTTGCAGCATCTACTGAGATGATCATGTGGTTTTTGTCTTTTATCATATCAATGTGGTACATTATATTCATTGATTTTTTTGGATGTTAAACAACTTTGTATTCCTGGGATAAATCCCATTTGGTCATGATGTATAATCCTTTTCATAATGTTACTGGTTTCAGTTTGCTAGTATTTTGTTGAGAATTTTTTTGCATTTATATTCATAAGAGATATTGGTCTATAGTTTTCTTGTGATGTCTTTGTCTGGTTTTGATGTCAGTAATAATTGCCTTTTATTATAGAATAAGTTTAGAAGTGTTCCCTCCTCTTCTATTTCTTGGAAGAGTTTGTAAAGGACTGGTATTAATCTTTTAATATTCTTATTTTTATTTTTTATGGCTTCCTTTGTAGTTTACCCTTTGCTATTATTAAGTTGCAGATGGGGCTTGTAAATGGAGGCAGGAAGGTGGTGTTCATACTGATTGGTCCCTCTCGGACAATTTCACAACAGTGAAAGCACAGAATTCTAAATAAAACTGTTGAGTCTTCATTTTGCCTCCAGCTAAACAATGATCAATGCTCCACCACTGGAAGACAGAAACAAATTCAAAGGTTTTTATATCTTAAATTCAGAACCACAGTTAGAAGATGTTTTTCTGTGCTGTTTCCCCCAGTTAAGCCATGATGCCCGGTTCACTGTCCCTACTTTAAGAACTCTTACCTATAACTTATTAGTACAAATTTGTCTAGAAACATTATTTAAAAGAAACTGTTAAGAAGTTTTATACTGACCTTCTCATGAGTAAGAGAGTCTGAGAACAAGGAGAGTTTGTTGAATCCCAGACATCACGTAAGGTATTATGAGTAATAAATATTTAGATTGTCTTCCTACATGTTGCAAGGTAATTTCTAGTCATTAATCACTCTACCAACTCACTGGGAAAAATTAGCACTGAAGAAATAATAACAACAACTAATGTTTGCTAAGTAATTACTATGTGCCAAACAGTGTCTTAAATTCTTTATATATACCTTTTTATTTTTCATAGCAATAGTATGAGGTCAATACTAATATTATTCTCCACTTTACAGATGAGGAAACTGAGAAACAGAGAGCTAATCTAAGTTGCTTGGTGCCATGTAGGTAGAGAATGCTGGAGCCAGGATTTGAGCTTGGTTATGTGACCACAGAACCTGAACCAGAAGTTAGAGTGGATTATGCACATTTCAGAGCAGGGATTCAGATCCTATATTCCAAGTTCTGGGTTTATAAGTGATTTGTCTCTCTCTTGATGGACAATAAAATTTGCAGTCAACATTTAAGAAATGTCCATAAGAAGACAGCATAGGTTTAAGGAAAAGAAAAAGAAATGTCCATAGAGCATGTACTCAGATGGTACTAATGACTTAAGAGTAGACAGTCTCTGCAGAGATAATTTAATAGGCAAGTCAATAAAATAAATATTTAGCATTTATTGAATGATTACTATGTTCCAGGGTAAGTGATTTACTTGTATAAATTAATTAAATCTGCAAAAGAACTCTATAAAATAGGTAGTATTATTATTATCATCTCCATTTGTAGCTGAAGCCCCTGAAGCAAAGATGTGGGTAACTTGCCCAAGGCCAATTAGCTGTAAGTGGCAGAGCCCAGATTTGAACCCAGACAATCTTGCTCCAGAGCCTCTGTTCTTAACTGTTTTGCTATGCAATTTCTCCAAGTAAAAAGTGCCCCGAAATATGTTCACAACAATGCAGTCATACCAAGAATGCAGTTATAGATAACAATGGAACATTGTGTTTGTGCATGTAGAGACTGGAGTCACTTCTATAGGAGAGAAGCACCACGCTGTCATGTGTAGGAGAGAAATGTTGTGGTTGAATGGAGAAGGAAGGCTGTTCTGTAAATATGAGAACCTGAAAAAATATGGAAATATGAAAAGAAAAAATAGTTTTAAAGGGGAAGCTTTTTGCTTATACTTTAACAGAAACTAGGAATAGACTGACGAGTTGTGGTATGTGCTCAGAAGCTGTGACTGGTCTTGAGTGAATTGTGGTTCAGAAGGGTTTACAGCCATACCTCAGGGGTAAAGGGGAACAGCTTGAAAGAGCAATTTGGAAAATGACTTTGATAAACTTCATTAGCAGATACAGAGGTTGAATCAATAGTAAATTAATATAAACTTCAATTATAAGTGTTTCTAGTAATGTAAGAAGAATCTGGAAATTAGCAGGAAACATTTGACCAGTTGGGTGATATTTCTCCTTTAGTGCCAAAATTATAATAGTCTTCTTTTTCTTGTGGCAATAAAATCAGGGGCCTGGGTTTATTTAGCACCTTTCTTCGTAGACCACAAATATTTCCCAGACACTGCTCTCCAGTTTTCCTGCATGGTGTTCTACCACCAACACGGGGTTATATACTCAGACCTCTTGTTTAGGTGGGAGGAGAGTAAGCTCAGTGCTAGTCAGTGACCACAGAGCTAAGTGTATCTGGGTCAGTTTTCTTCCAGACATGTGGGTCTTCTGGTATGCAGCCTTGATAGACTTCAGAGCTCCCTTGTCTCCTGGTACAGATGTGTTCACTTTTGGTCACAAAGGCACTGTTGATCTCCTTCAGAGTTTGTGGCAATTTGCAACTTTAAAGGATCATCCATATTATCAAAAATTTACATGTTTTCAATTAGATGATTATTAACTCAAAGTTTCTAAGTTTTTTTTTTATTCATATCAAAAGCAAGTAAACCAGTACTGCCCACCCTCCCTACTTCCCATATGTGAACAAAGATCAGTGAAAGTCAAATGTCAATATACAGGAGCTTTTAAAAAATACTCTTCGTCCGGTCACTGTCAAGGTAACCTGGTGGCTTCTTTTCTCAAGTCCTCACACAGGTATTCAGAAATACCAGGATGGTGTACCCAAGATCCCAACAGCCTGTATTACAGTGGAAGATGCAGAAATGATGTCAAGAATGGCTTCTCGTGGGGTCAAAATTGTCATTCAGCTGAAGATGGGGGCAAGGAACTATACAGATACTGATTCCTTCAACACTGTAGCAGAGATCACTGGGAGCAAGTACCCAGAACAGGTGAGTGAAGGAGAGGGATGGGCTGTTTAGGTATAGGGTGATCTTGGCAAGTTTGAGTTATTAGGATAGTTTGGGAAGGAGAACATGAGACTGCAGAGATGGTCCTCATAGACTCATTGAAGGCAGAAGCTTCATATATATTTTTTCTCATCAAATTTTACTACATTGACTGAAGAAGGACAGGACTAATTGAAGGGGAAAATGGGATTGATGGTGTGACAGTATTATTTGTACATACATATTGTATTTATTCCATTTGGAGCCAGGTTGGCATTTGAGATCAAACCAATACCCAATAGTTATTGTGCTTATCGTGTGAGTTATCTTATTTAATCCTTTCAAAGATCAGTGAAGTGGGGCCTGTTTTCTTCATTTTACAGGTAAGGAAGCTAACTCAGAGGGAAACTCACTCACGCAAGGTCCACACAGCTAAGTGACTGAGAAGGGACTTAAATTCAGGACTTTTTAAATATTAAATTAAGCTTTAAACCACAGTTTATGTACATTTTCCAAAGTATATTTTTTAAATAGTCTTACAGATAGATCCAATCTCTATACTAGCTGAATGTTAAATAACATGACCAAGTAACTTATTCTTTGAGTCTTAGAGAACTTATCTGCAAAAAAAGGGATGGTATATGCAATTAACTGAATTATTATGAGGACTAGATTAGATAATGCACATCAAATAGCCTCATACAGTTTGGCACATCACAAATGTTCACTGACTGTGAGTCTACTTTGTGTGATATCAAGTGTGTAAAAAACAGTTTTTATGATGTTTCAGGTGCAAATCTGAAATCTGAAAATAGAATTTAAAAATGAAGTTATTCAGAAATTTCAGACTTGTATTTTGCTTGAAGACACCAATGGGATGAAGTGAATAGTAATGGAGTTTGATGATGGAGAAACACACCTTCTGTTCATGTCTTGACTCAGGACTCCTCCCAGACTTAGGGTTGTGCTGTAGTAAAGATTTATTTTAAGTTCAGGACTCTTTGCTTCCAAAATTGCCTGTTTCAAGGACCTGGGTATCATCAACCATGGGTTGTGGCCACCGGGATAATAGAAAACCAAGAACTTGGTAGGACCATAGGGAGTCAGATAGCTGTAGAGAAACTATGGTTTTAAATGTCCCCCTATAGGAAACTGATAACAACAAAAGAACCAAGAATCTGTATTACAGATACTGAACAGTCAGACTCTTGAAAAATGTAATCCTTACCAGGTATTTTCCCCTGTCAGTAATTCCTGGATAAAGTTTTGTCATCTTCAGGTTGCTAGCCCAGGATGTTGGTGTTCAGGATTATATACTGTCAGTTGTCTGAGTGAGCAGGCTGATTCTGGCCTTTGGGTTTTGATGAGTTTTTTAAAAATGTATACAGGAATGCAACCACTACCACAATCATAATATGGAATATTTCCACCACGCCACAGATTCCCTTGTGCCCCTTTTCAGTCCATTTCCAACTTAACTCTCCTGCCCCCTGGCAGCTACTGCTCTTTCTAGAGCTATTATCTTTTCTAGAATTTCATATAAGTGGAATCATATAATCTGCAGTCATTCATGTCTGCCTCTTTCACTCAGCATAATGCTTTTGAGATTTGTCCATGTTGTGGTATCAGTTATTTCTTCCTTTATATCACTGAGGAATATCTCATTGTATGGATAAAGCACAATTTGTTTATCCACTCAGCAGTTGATGTGGGTGGTTTCTAGTTTTTGACAATTATGTTTGAAGCTTCTGTGAACATTCTTGTCTTTATCTTTATGTGAATTTATGTTCTCCAGGAAGGTAGATTGATAATTCTGGAGAGATCTCAGGACTCAAGATTAAACTTTCACCTCTGCCATAGTGTTGCCTAGCACTCCAAGAGTTGGTCATAAATATCTCCTTACCAAGATGTAAAAGGTAGAAGATTAACAAAGTTCTCCCACGTAGGAATCACAGCATTATTTCCACAGAAGGAGTATAAACGATCACAGTAAAGTCAAATCTGTGGCTGTGTTTTTTGAAGGAATCTGCCTTATAGCTGGCCTGGAACCACAGGGGACACACAGATTGTGAAGGCAAAAGGCAAGCATATAGTCTCCCCCTCAGTTGTTAGGTTGGTTAATGAACCTGAGTAAGCACTGTCCTTCTTATCCCTGATAAATGCCATCTCTTCCGTGAAGCCTCCTCTGATAACTTTCCCCTCATCTTAACACTTTATGCTACTTTTATTGTGTCATCTCCCACCAGTGTTTACAAATGCCCTGAGCAGGCACTCTATTTACTTTATTTACTTTCTTTTTCTTTTTTTTCTCTAATGGCTATCCCAGGACTTGGCACATAGTAGCTTCCCAACATATCTATCTATCTATCTATCTATCTATCTATCTATCTATCTATATGTATATATATACATATATATTAGTAGAATGAAGAGAGTAAGTAAAGAAGGAAATGGTTGGAAGATTTTGTTAATCTTGATCCTCTCTAAATCTAGTTTTCCTGCCCTTCTAGAACATTATCTATTGGCATATTGGACATCATCCCTAAATGTCCAAACATGAACACATCAACTCCCTCATACCTTGTTCCTTGCCTTCATTTCTTGTGTCTATTGAATGAACAGTATCTACCTATCAGCACAGTTATAAAACTTCAAGTTATTTTCCATTTCCTCCTCTTTGTCACTGTCCTACAGTCAGGCATCATGTCCTACTTGGTCTACTTTCAGCATATTTTAAAAAATCCTGTTCCTACCTTGCCTTTACTGCTATTACTGCCCTAATTCAGGTGTTCACTATTTCCCTCCTGATCTATTTTTCTGCTAGTCTCTCCCATACTGGGTCTGTTCTTATAATGAAGCTCAAAGTTATCTTCTAAAACATTGATCTCAACATGGTGTTTCCCTGCTTTGAGGTCCCTCTCTCCCTGTCTCTTTTTCTATAAGATTAAGGTTGTGATGAAGATAAATGCTGGCGTCAGTGATCTGAGGTGAGCAGAAGACAGAGGAAATGAGACAAAGAGGGAAGGGAGCTGGGAGGGTTATGTAGGAGGCAGTTATAGTAAGAGGAAATTATACAGCATGACCAGAAAATGAGAATAAAGAAAGAGAGAAAGGAAATGTACGATGTAGAAAGGAAATGTATGATAGAGATTTAAGGTCAATTTAAATCTTCTTCATTCCATAGGCCAGTGAGGGAGTTCAGCTCTCCTAAACTCTGAAAAACTTTCCTAAAATCATTCGACTTTATTTTTTTTACCTGTTTTTAATTTCAAAATATTAAGGAGCTACAAATGTTTTGTTACATGGATAGCTTTTATAATGTTATTAGTATGTACATCACAAGAATAGTGTTCATTTTACCTGTTAGGTAGGTTTTTACCCCTCCCCTCCTTCCTCCTTCCCTACTTCTTGATTTACAATAACTTTTACTTCTCTCTGTGCCCATGTGTGCCCATTGATTAGTTCCAAATTATTAGAGAGTACATGTGGTGCTTGTTTTTCCATTCCTGAGATACTTCACTTAGGATAATGGTCTCCAATTCCATCCAAATTGCTGCAAAAGACATTAATTCATTCCTTTTTATGGCTGAGTAGTACTCCATGGTATATGTATACCACATTTTGTTAATCCACTCATAAATTGATGGGTATTTAGGTTGATTCCACATCTTTGTGATTGTGAATTGTGCTGTAATAAACATTTGGGTGAAGGTGTCCTTTTGATAAAATGACTTTCTTTTCCTTTAGGTAGATACCCACTAGTGGGATTGCTGGGTTGAGTGGTAAGTCTATATTTCTTTCTCTGAGGAATATCCATGCTATTTTCCATAGAGGTTATACTAATTTACAATCCCACCAACAGTGTGTAAGCGTTCCTGTTTCTGCATCCATGCCAGCATCTGTTGTTTTTTGACCTTTTAGTAATGGCCATTCTGACAAGGGTAAGGTGATATCCCATTGTAGTTTTAATTTGCATTTCCTTGATGATTAGTGATGTTGAGCATTTTTCCATACGTTTGTTGGCCATTTGTCTATCTTCTTTTGAAAATTTTCTGTTAAGTCTTTTGCCCACTTTTTTTTTTTATTTATTTCAGCATATTATGGGGTACAGATGTTTAGGTTACGTGTGTTGCCCTTGGTTCCCCCCCCAAGTCTGTGTTTCAAATATGTCCATCCTTCGCGTA